GTCTTGGAGGGGAATTTGCAGGTGGTGGTGTTCCCAAATATCTGCTGCATTTTGCCTTAGCGGTTGTGAGTTTGGAAGATGCTGTTTAAAGGGCCTTGGCTAATTTCAACAGCGCATCTCGTAGGTGGCACACACTGCTGCTACTGGTGGCGGAGGGAGTGATTGTTTGTGGATGTGGTGTTAATCAAGCAGACTGCTTTATCCTGGATGGTGTCAAGTTTTTTGAATGCTTTTGGAGTTCCAGGCAAGTGGTGAGTATGACATCACAGTCCTGACTTCAGACTTGTACGTGGTGGACAGGCTTAAAGAGTCAGGAGGTGAGTTACTCACTGCAGGATTCTGAGTCTCTGACCTGCGTTTATAGACACAGAATTTATATGGCTAGTCTAGTTGAGTTTCTGGTCAAAGGTAACCCCCAGGATGTTGACAGTGGGGGATCCAGTGATGGTATCCATTGAATATCAAGAAACAGCGGTTAGACATCATCCTGATGGAGACAGTCATTGTTTGGAACTTCTGTGGCATGAACGTTACTTGCCACCTGTAAAGCCTGGATATTATCCAGATCTTGCTGCATTTAAACATGAGCTGCTTCAGTATATGAGGAGTCACAGATGGTGCTGAACATTGCAATGTTCATTGATGATTTCACATCACCATTTTGCCCTTATAAAACAGAAAAGGTCATTGATGAAGCAGCCTGAAGATGGTTACATCTAGGACATTACGATGAGGAACCCAAGCCGTGATGTGTTGGAGTTGAGATGACTGACTTCCAACAACCACAGCCATCCTCCTTCATGCCAGGTGACTCCAAACAGTGGAGACATGTCCCCCTTCTTCCCATTGATTCTAGTTTTGTTAGGGCTCCTTGATGTCACACTCAGTCATGTGCAGCCTCAAAGTGAAGAGCAGTCAATCTCACCTTACTGCTTGTTATGAGTTGTACAATGGATGTACCACATAAATTATCAACTATGTACTTTAGCCTGCTCAGGCTATCTTTTGCTATAATGAAACAGTTTTATTCCTTTTTTTAACATTTAAAGTAACAAAACAAAATTTTTGGAAGTATGCAATAGAAATGTTAGATAATGAAGGAAGCACAAAGTATATTGCTGTAATGACACACCTATACAAGAAATGATTTTAAATTAATCTAAATTTTCCAGTGATTTTAGTGCAACGTGGACTCTGATTAAACTGCTGCAAACCCAGCAATGTCAACATCTGGAAACCAGTCTATGTGGAGTTTACGGTCAACAACAGAGGTATCAATTGTAAATCTGATTCAACCAACAGATGAGTTTATTTTTAAGAATGACGTACATCAAACAAGATCTAACTGTGTCCCAATAAATGATACTTGATGGATCTGCAGACTGTGCAAATATTGTCAAATGGAAGGACGGAACTTGAATTGCACCCAAATTGAACACAATTGTAGCTTTAACAGTGAGTTTTCCGTAATATATTGCATTAAAAAATTGAAGGTTCAGAAATAGGGCACTGAGGCCAACCAATCCAATGAGAGTGTTTACTTTCCACACAAGCACTGATCTGTATTATGCATCATCTACATCCTATGAGATACTTTATTGCAAACAAATAGCATACCATTATATACACTGGCACATTGATAGAAGCAATGTACTTCATTCCCCACTATGGTTCTGCCAATTTTCTCACATCTATTCCGTTTCTGTTCTTTCTTAAGGATGCCTGACCGAAATAATTGAATAGTCAGTAAGTAAACTGTAGGGGATTGAGGCAGGCTGGGAGACTGGAGTTGATGTGGGCCATGACGAGCTTCTTAAAGCACTTCATGATTATTGAAGTCAGAGCTACTGGGCAGTCATCATTAAGGCACAATGCATGTGTTTTCTAGGGTACGGGGATGATGGCTACTTAGAAGTAGACATTGTATAAATACTCATGTAGTACATTTTATAATTGGTATTGATTATAAAAAAAACAAATATCAACTTCAAACCTAAAATATTTGCTTAGCAATCCTATCAGCAGCTTGTGTTTAAAAAAAGACTGTGCAGTTTTCTATGTAGTCCTGGAGAGAACAAACTGCATCAGTCAGGTCATAGCTAGGAGCAGAACCACACAATAGTGTTAATCTAAAGACATGTTCCAGGTCAAAGAAGCAAAACTCTTTGTGGCATTCACAAAGAGCTCATCCTCTTGGCGACAAGTAAACAAGGTTACTTGTTAATCAAGTTACCACTGCCTTTGTTACATGCTAATTAATTATAGATGATTTTTCAATGTGACTGAATTCCATCCAACTTCTGAAACTGCCATCACAGGCACGACAGATGGGACATTTCAAGCACTTTGTTTTAGAGACAGCTTTAAAACAGCTCCAAACAGATTTCACAAGTTTCAAAATCTCCCCTCCCCCTACCGCATCCCAAAACCAGTCCTGCTCGTCCCTGCCTCCCTAACCTGTTCTTCCTCCCACCTATCCCCTCCTCCCACCTCAAGCCGCACTTCCATCTCCTACCGACTAACCTCATCCCGCCCCCTTGACCTGTCCGTCCTCCCTGGACTGACCTATCCCCTCCCTAACTCCCCACCTACACTCACCTTTACTGGCCCCATCCCCGCCTCTTCGACCTGTTTGTTTCCTCTCCACCTTTCCTCTCCTCTATCCATCTTCTATCCGCCTCCCACTGTCTCCCTATTTATTTCAGAACCCCCTTCCCCTCCCCCTTTTCTGATGAAGGGTCTAGGCCCGAAACGTCAGCCTCTCTGCTCCTATGATGTTGCTTGGCCTGCTGTGTTCATCCAGCCCTGCACCTTGTTGTCTCGGATTCTCCAGCATCTGCAGTTCCTACTATCTCTGATTCAATCCAAACAGAATACCTGGTTTTTTGCAGCTCTTTAGAAACCAACTAGCTTTCAACTTTACCAGATAATCAGGAAATTTACCAGAAGTTCAATCAAGAAGACATTCTCTTTCTTTTCTGCTGTAACATACAGTACTGATGTACAGCTTGCAGAAATTTGGGTCCAAAGTTGCGCAGAAAGTGCCATATGTTACTCTGATCTGAATGTTTTGCCTTTGAAATGATGTATTCAAATAAATAACCTACAGATGAAGTTGACACATGTCAGTTCCAGAATTACAATCGGAACAGCCACAACATCTAAAATTCAACATGTAGAATTTTCCCCTCCTAATGTGGCACAAAAAATGGTGAGCAAGTTGACTGAATGAGCCAATACTAAAAAAAAATTCACATTCTCAACGTCAAGAAAACCTTACTCAATTTAGTCACCAAGCCTTGGATGGTGAGCCAAGAATCTCACTGATGGGTGGAGAGAAGCTTATTTCCATACATCTGCATCTCATGCAAACACCAAATCACCCTACTAACATTAAACTTCCACTGTGCCTCTCTACCATTGTGAAACTAGACATTTACTCAGTGTTATAAAGGTGGTGCAAAACCTTGATGGTTAAATAAAGCAGGTACTTGGCAACTTGTCTTATTAGTCTCTGTTGCAGCTTGCAGAATAATGACGCCAGCCATCTACCTTCTCTTTACAGGGAGATGTTTCTTCTGCAAAAGGTCCCTGTATGATCCATAGCTATGACCATCCTCATCCAACTCAGTGTGGGCAACCTTCCAGACCCACAACAACATCATACCTGCTCTTCGACCAACTCAGCCATCACTTCAAGGCTTCATGCAACTACTTCAGAGCTGAGGGATAGCTGGGACTTACATGCTTCTGCCAGGTAATTTTGCACTTAGGCACAGCTAGGTATTTTGTGTAACTAAACATTATTTTTATATAAGTGGTACCAAATATCTAATGGGTCTTCGCTTGGTTTTTAGCTTTGAAAGTCTTTAGCACTCATATACAGGCATCCAGCCTCAATGGGTGCTCATCCAATTACAGCCCAAGGGGTTGGCCACAATCAGTCAGGTGCTTCACAATTCCAGTGATGTGTATACTTCAATTCCAGGAATTGAGCCACACTGAGTCCTACAGGTCAAGTGCAATCATTCCAGGGATTAACTGAAGGTCAGTCGGGGTGCTGCTGAGACACCAGTCTGAAATGTGGGTTGAAGTCAGTCAAGATTGTCTTGCCAAGTGAGTCTGGGGGTTAGGCATTGTCAGTCATGGGGATTGGTTGCTGATAGTCAGGGAGTTTATCAAGGGGCAGCCTATGGTTTCCTGGGGAAAGTGGACATATCAAGTCTGGCCATGTGTTTCATTGTAGTGGATCATTGAGGGAATGGTCTGTGTGCTGGCGAAATTGTAGATAGTGAGCTGGGACCTTTGTGAACAGAAAGCAGTCATGGAGGTGGAGGGCAAAACAAGCAGGTCACAGTTACTATGAGAGGGTGTAGGGTCAACAATGGCATGAGGAACATGAACCTTTGATTCTGAGGCAAAGCAAACACATTCATTTTAATATAAAGGGGGTTCAACCCTAATTGGGAGGGGGGAGGCTGAAAGGTCATCATGCCCATAGTGACAGCAACAGGGAATGCTCAACAATGGGGGTAGCAATGGGGTATAAATGACTAAGGATATGTGCAAACCAGGCACTAAACATTACCTTCAACCTCAGAGTCATCGCCACCAAGGTACAATGGCTCAATTGCAGTCCTCAATGTCGAAGTTCAAAGATCTCTGATGTCTGAGGCTCTTTGCAGTCAGTTACAGAGTCAGGAACTTGTGTGAGATGCTTAGTAATTGCAACCTCTTACATCACTGAGATTTGTGAAGAAGCTGCTCATCTCTTACAGATGTGACTTAAGCAGGTTGCATAGCGAAAAGTACACTACTATATCATTTAGACTGAGAACAGAAGCACATCTTCTGCCCAGGGGCCGAGCAGATGTCTGGTCTCTAGCAGTCCCATAAGTGCCAACAAACTCAGGCATTTCTTCCTCAACCAGCTGCGGAGGCATGTCAGTGATGTGCTCACCGGATCATGCCTCTGAGTCGAATCTAAATTGAGTACTCACCAAGGTGAAAGTTTCTGATTGAGGGTGAGAGTAAACAACTTTGCAGGTGTATTCTCAGAGAGTTCAAAGATGGAGGCAGAATTGAGGCTCCCTAGGACTGGCCTCTTGTTAACAGATGGTCACTGGATGCTGCTATTGCCTGTATAAGGGAAGAGAGGGAATTAGTTCAAAACGTTAGATAAAAGCTTGTGCAGAATAAAAGTGACACCAGAGGTAATGGGCAAATATCACAGCACAATGTAATTTACTGGATTGATTGCTTATTGGTGTCACCTTGTCACCATCGGCCAGCCTGATCTCAGCCAATCCCCTCTGCTGTTGTTGTGACTCTGCATCACAAACAACCATCCAGCTAACTGAGCTAACCAAATCCAAACAAATACTTTGCATCAGTCTTCGCAGCGCAAGACACAACAGCATTCCAAAATGACTGAATGTGCAAGGACCAAAATGAGGAGAGGAAATAAACATGACTATTACTTGAGAAAAGTGCAAGGGAAATTAAAAGGGCTAAAGACCAATAGGTTCTCTGGACCTGATGGGATGCATCCTAAGATAAGAAAGGAAGTAGATACAGAGATTGTAGGTGCACCAGGGGTAATCTTCCAAGAATCTTTTAGATTCTGGAAAAGTACCAGGGGAGTAGAAAACTGTCAATGTAACACCTTTATTTGAAAAGGGAAGCAGAAAAATATAGGTACCTAAAGGCCAGTTAGCTTGACATCTGTTATGGGGAAGATGTTAGAGTCTATAAGGATATAATGGCAGAACGTGTAGAAATAGATAATATGATCAGGCATAGTCGGCATGGCTTCATAAAGGGGAAATCGTTCCTGACAAATTTACTGGAATTATTTGGGGAGGTAACAAGCGGGATAAAGGGAAGGCCATGGGTGTAATATATTTACATTTTCAGAAGTACCACACATTACACTACTTGATAAGATAAGAGCAATTGTGTTGGAGGTAGTATAGTAGCATCGATAGAGGAGTGACTAACTAATAGAAGACAGAGTATTGGGATAAATAGGATATTTTCAGGATGGCAACCTGTAACTTATGAAATGGCAGAAGAGTCTGTGCTGGGGTCACAATTATTTACAATATATGTCAATGGCTTTTATGAGAAAGTAAAAGTCCTTTTCATAGCTGAGGCCAGGCGCTAACTCCCTGACACCTCCTCCTACCGCGCCCTCGATCATGACCCCACCCCTGATCACCAAAACATCATCTCTCATACCATTCACAACCTCATCACCTCAGGTGACCTCCCACCCACAGCCTCCAACCTCATCGTTCCCCAACCCTGCGCAGCCCATTTCTATCTCCTTCCCAAAATCCACAAACCTGACTATTCTGGCCGACGCATTGTCTCTGCCTGCTCCTGCCCCACTGAACTCATGTCAGCTTACTTTGACTCTGTTTTCTCCCCCATGGTCCAGGAACTCCCCACCGACGTCCAGGACACCACCCACACCCTCCACCTCCTCCAAGACTTCTAATTCCCTGGCCCCGAACACTTCATCTTCACTATGGACATCCAGTCCCCTTACAGTTGCATTCCCCACACAGATGGCCTAAACGCCCTCTGCTTCTTCTTCTCCTGCAGGTGCAACCAGTCCCCTTTCACCAACACCGTCATCCACTTAACTGAACTCATCCTTACCCTTAACAACTTCTCCTTCAACTCCTGCCACTTCCTACAGACTACGGGGCTGGCCATGGGAACCCATAAGGGCCCAAGCTATGCCTGCCTCTTCATAGGATACGTGGAACAGTTCCTCTTCCACTGCTACACTGGCACTATCCTCCACCTCTTCCTCCGTTACATTGATGACTGCATCGGCGCTGCCTCGTGCTCCCACGAGGAGATTGAACAGTTCACCAACTTTACTAACATCTTTCACCCAAACCTCAAGTTCAACTGGACCATCTCTGATACCTCTCTCTCCTTCCTGAGCCTTTCTGTCTCCATCTCTGGTGACTGCCTCGAAACCGACATCTATTTCAAGCCCACTGACTCCCACAGCGACCGAGACTACACCTCTTCTCACCCACCTTCCTGCAAGAATGTGAACTCCTACTCCCAATTCCTCCACCTCCGCCGCATCTGCTCCCAGGATGGGGCGTTCCACTCCCAAACATCCCAGATATCCTCGTTTTTCAAGGACTGCAACATCCCCACTTTGGTGGTTGAAAATGCTCTCAACCGCATCTCTTGTGTTTCCTGCACCTCTGCCCACACATCCCCTCCCTCCAGTAAAACAAAGACAGATTCTCCCTTGTCCTCACATATCACCCCACCAACCTCCGCATCCAGCATATGTCATTCTCTGCCACTTCCGCCACCTACAATCCAACCCCACAACCAAAGATATATTTCCCTCCCCCCCCCAACTATTTGCCTTTCGTGGGGACCACTCTCTCCATGACTCCCTTGTCCGCTCCACAATCCCCAATAGCCCCACCACCTCTGTCCCCTTTCCCTGTTACCGCAGGAAGTGGTACACCTGCCCCTACACCTCCCCCCCTCACCTCCATCCAAGGCACGAAACGAACCTTTCACATCAAACAGAGATTCATCAGACAGAACATCCATCAATGTGGTCTATTGCATCCGCTGCTCCAGATGTGGCCTCCTGTACATCGGTGAGACCAAGCGGAGGCTCGGTGACCGCTTTGTAGAGCACTTGCGCTCTGTTCGCGACAAACGACAACACCTTCTGGTCACGAACCATTTCAACTCACCCTTCCACTCCCCCTCCCACTCCCTGGGTGACATGTCCATCCTGGGCCTCCTCCAGTGTCACAATGACGCCACCTGGAAACTGGAGGAGCAGCACCTCATATTCCACCTCGGGAGATTACAGCCCATTGGCCTCAACATAGAATTCACCAGTTTCAAAATCTCCCCACCACTGGGCTCATCCCATGACCAACCCTCCCTCTCATCCCCGCCTCCTTGACCTGTCCATCTTCTCTCCCACCTATCCACTCTTCCCACCTCACTGACCAATCCACATCACTCCCTACCTTCACTCACCTATGACCATCACACCGATCTTCCCCAGCCCTACCCCTCCTCTCACTATTTATTTCTGAGCTCCCTTCCCCCTCCCCCATTTCTGAAGAAAGGTCCCGACCTGAAATGTCAACTTTCCTGATCCTCTGATGCTGCCTGGCCTGCTGTGTTCCTCCAGCTCCACACTGTGTTATCTCTGACTCCAACATCGGCAGTTCTTACTATCTCAAAACTGCTATACCCATTGCAGATGACACAAAATAGTTGTAAAGCCAAATTGTGACAATGACACAAAGAGTATGCAAAGGGATACAGACAAGTTAAGCAGGTGGGCAGAAACTTGGCAGATGGAATGTAATATGGAAAAATGTGAAGCTGTGCACTTAGGGCCAAGAGAACAGAGGAGGTGAATATAATTTAATGGGAAAAGACTGAAGAAAGCTACAGTAGTTCTTGTCCATGAATCACAAAAAACTAACATCCAGGTTCGATAGGTAATAGAGAAGCCAAGTGGAATGTTGATCTTTATTTCAAAGGGAAGGGAGCATAGAAGTAAGGAGGTTTTGCTAAAACTTAGAAGACTTTAGACAGAGCACAGCTGGAATACTGCGAACAAATTTGGGTCCCTTATCAAGGGAAGGTTATGTTAGTATTGGAGGCTGACCAAAGAAGTTGCAGTAGGCTGACTCAGAGATAGCAAGAACTACAGATGCTGGAGTCAGAGATAACACAGTGTGGAGCTGGAGGAACACAGCAGGCCAGGCAGCATCTGACCTGCTGTGTTCCCCGAGCTCCACACTGTGTTATCTCAGTAGGCTAACACCAGTCATGGGGGACTGTCTTATGAGGATAAGTTGTGTAGACTGGGCCTGTACTCATTGGAATTTAGAAGACTGAGAAATACACTAGGTTCTTAGGGAACTTGATCAGGTACATGTGGAGAGGTTGCTTCTCCTTTTGGGAGTGCCAGGGCCAGAGGACATAATTTCAGAATAAGGGGTTGTACATTTAAGGCAGTGAGTAGGAGAAATGTATTCACTCAGAGGGTACCGAATCTGTGGAATTCTTGACCACAGAGGGCAGGCAAGGCTGGGTTATTATGGATACTCAAGGCTGAGTTAGACAGATTTTTCTAATAAATAAGAGAATCAAGGGTTATTGGAAATGGCAGGAAGGTGGAGTTCAGATTTATCTGTGATTTCATTGAATAGTGGAGCAGACTAAATGGACTGATTGGCCTACATCTGCTCCTGTGTTTTATGGTGTAACGGTCTTAAAGTTGTGTGGAATCTTGCAGAAATGGCTAATTTGCATTAAGTGAGGAATAAGAACAAGACAAGAGAAATAGCATACTTACCTCAGAATAGCTGGGTAAGCGCAATTTGTGCACAAATGATTAAATCATCTCCCAAAAGATTGGGCTACATTTGATATTACTGATCTGCGGGATATAAAAGCAATTTCTGCACCATTTATATGCTGTCTTTTCTCAAGGCAGATCATGAAGACAATGTTTTTCACATATGTTTATCAAAGCAAGAACAAACACAGCTAGAATTCTTGTCAGGCTACCTACATAAGTCTCAACTCAATCATTCGCATTCACAGATTCTTTAGAAACAAGAAGTCAGGTGATGAGCTCTTACTGGAGAGAGCATTAATAAATGCCCTGTTAGGAAAATTCATCTTCAATTGAGTTGTCATGTAAATAGAGTAGAGGAGGCCATCTGAGGTGGGGATATGTATCCTACAGCATCCCTCACATCAAATGTTTCAATAGGCAACATTGGACAAAAGAGCACTTTGAAATGTATGAAATCAAGAGATTTAGAATGTATGAAATCCTACTGCCATTTATTATTTGTGGTTAGAAAATTTGCTCTTGCAGCAAGGCTTTAAATTAATGGGATTGCAGGGAGACAGTAAATATAGGCTTACAAAGCAAGAGAATATGGCAGCATCACAGGGCAGCTATTTGGATAATGATACCCAGAGTGGAACAGGAGGCATATAGAAAATAGGAATATAGAAAAGCAGCAGTAAAAAGCTTCAAAGCAGGAAATTGTAAAATTTTGAAATTAATGGCTCTTTACTTGTATACTCCCAGTATCTAGAGC